TCTGGCTTCCTTTTCCAGGTCTCTTCCTGCCCTTCTTCCTCTCCTTTCTTGGAAAAATGAGTAGCTGTGTCCCCTCTGTGCACTTGTGTCCATCTCCTTTGGCCCCTCCACCCTCATAATATGGCCATAAGGATTTCTGAAGGGTTTAAATGGCTCCACTTGGCTGGAGAGAATCATAAACCTGTCCTTCAAAGGGGGAAGGGAAGCAGTTTCTTGTCAAAGAGGATGCCCCTTCAGGACATTGAGATTGTTGGCCTCCGTGACATGGAACTACATTTCCTGCTGGGGATTCACGTTCCTTCCCTCCTCCCACTAGGAATGGCCGGCTGAAATAAAGGTTAAGAGTGTTTCACTTATCAATTTTAATTGATGAGAGTGCTAGTTGAGATCATTTAACTGAGCCTTTTTGGGTAGCTGGCCATTAAGAAAGTAATGGCTGTCTGTCTGTCCCCAGCCTGATTACAAATTATGCCTTTTGCAAAACAAGGAGACTCCAGAATGTACTAGGAATAACGGATTTTAGAAGCACACATGGATTTTAGTTGCACACATGTTCCTGTTGGTTGGTTTGGATTTTGTTCTTCTGGTGGTGATTTTTAAATGCTGGGACTTCTCACCTCCCGTTGGGGGAAAAGAATCAACCTGCTTTGCTCTTCACAGAATGCCTTCAGTGCCTAAAAAAATGTGGGAGGTGTCACAGCATCACAGGGGAAGGCATTCCTGTTGCTGAGTGCCAGGAGCTCAGCAGGCGTCTTCCGGAGCATGGTGGTTTCTCCTGCTGCCGGAGCTTGAGGACCGTGCCGGGGTTGGTAGACTTGGCTCTGAGTTGATCTGGTCAGACAGACCAGGAATGCCCACGGCAGGCAGCAGGAGGGTGACATAAAGTGTGTTAGCTAAACTAGTCACACTTTGGTAAGAAACTGTAGCAGAAAGAGCCCTCCCCAGAGGCCCCACGTGATGAAAGCAGCCCTTGGTGACTGACTAGCAGCAGGGCTCGGGGCCAAAAGGAGCATGGCAGATGCAGTCACCTCTCAGGAGAGACTGGGTGCGGAGCAGAGACCTTCTCTGTTTGCCACCAGAGAGGGCATGGCATGGGGTGCAGATCACGGACGGGCAGCTGCGCAGGCCCTGTCTGCAGAGGGAGGCTGGGAGCAGGAAGGGCGGCAGGTTGAGATGAGATAGGCTGGATTTACGAGAGTAGCGTCATGAATCTCCATGTACCAGTCCTCAGCTCCAACAGTCATTACCATTTGACTAAGTTTTATTTCATCTGCCCCACCATCTCTCTTTAAAATATTACCACCCCCAGCCCAGAGTACTTTAAAGCAAATGGAAGACATATTATTTCACCTCTAAAAACACTTATCTCTAACAGATAAGGACTTGGGGCCACTCTTCCTAATTGAATTGGTTGCCACCATTTAGAAATTGTGAGTTTCCCAACCCCCTGGCTCTGGGCTGGAGCCAGAACGGGACAGTCTCTGCGGATGGGGCCTGTGCTCTCCCGTCTGCCACCAGCCTGGACTGTCGACATTTGATGGGTCATCAGCGTGGTGACCTTGCTCAGGGTCGTCTTCCTGTCTGTGAAGCTCAGTGGCCTCACCTCTACAGCACTCTGTAAGCTGGGCGGTGGAGAAGCTCAGATGCCACCATGGCACGTAGCCGGTGCCCAGTGGCTGAGAGCTGGCTCCGTCTCTGTTGTCACTGCAGTGCGTACTGGGCTCCAGGGGCTAGGTTTTCTGCTGGAACAGCGTGCTGAGGACTGCATCCTGGACCACGCAGGCTCGTCATTCAGGTGGTGTCATTGTGTGGGGAGTGAGAAAGACAGCTCCGGCTGCTTTGGCCCAGATGATGGGTGCTGCAGCCATCCCAGACTGTGGGACTCCTCCACCCCAAGGAAGGGTGGAGTCAGATTCCTCACCCAGGCGTGGACATACTTCTCAGGGCCCTGGGAAATGCCTGTCATCATGGAGAGGAGTCATTTCAAACTTTGGGAGCACACAGCCCAATAAGATATCAAACCCCAAACCACCAGGAATAGGATTGCCAGCTTTTTATATTACCAAGTGTGGTGGTTAAGTTTGTGTGTCAACTTTGCTGGGCCTGGTTCAGTGGCTGGGACAGCTGGATGTAGTTATTCCCCATGGTGAGATTG